CCTTTTAACTAAGATATCACTTTATAATTACTTTTTCATTTAATTTTCTACTTTAAAAAAATAATCCATTATCTCAAATACTGAGTCTGGTTCCAATCTGTGTGGGGGAAAAAATTATGTTTTACTACAAAACATAGTAACTAAAACAGAAAATCACAGCTTGAAGGTATACAAAGACTCAGAAAGGGAAAGAAAAATAGTTTAAAAGCAAACTATTCATGCTTATAGTCAGCCCAGGTGAAAGAGATTATTATACTGTAACAAAATGTTTAAGAAAATTATTTTACTAGAGTTGGAGACTCTGGATTTTCCCTTTCATCTTTGTGAGAGTGAAAATAAAACTTAAAAATGTGACATTTGAAATACTATCCGAAAGTGTAAATACACACTCACTCCAAAGGTTGCTGACACACAGGCAGAACATAAATAATTCTTATGAGGGACGCTGTCACCATTTTTTTTTACCCCAATTTCAGGAACCATCAATGGGGAGAGCTGGCCAGCAACTTGGGCTGCCGTCCGCTTTCCCGTGGGTTCTGGAGCAGAAGCACACTCCTCCCCTCTCCCTGGAAGAGGGTTGAGGGCAGTGGGAGAGAAGCAGCAGCAAGCTGTTAAAAAAAACTTTAGATTGTATTTCCTTCTAAGGCATCCTGAGTCACTGGATGCTCCAGCCCCTAGTGCCTGGGGAAGTTCAGCTCAAATCAGCAATGTGTGTATGTGTTTTTTTTCCTGAACCCAAACTGCTGAAAAACCAGATGACATTGTCACTTGGACTAAATCTGCTGCAGGCAGTGAGTGGTAGCTTCCTACTTCTGTCCTACCAGGAGGATGGAAGCCATCTACTGATCAGTTTCTTTGAACCCACTTTCCAATAGGACCTCACAGTCTTAACAAGTGAGTTTACCCTCTACCCCACACCCCACATGGAGATGCCGAGACTTTATAAATCCCATTTGTCATCTACAAGCATACCACGGATCTACACACCTACACTCTTTTGCCTCCCACCCTTTAGGCTGCAATTTCAACTTAAACACCAAGTGATGACAAGCTGAGTTGGTCAGAATCCTAGACAGCCACAGGTAGAATCTACCCAGCCCAATCATCTTATTTTAGCTGAGGTTCGGAAAGGTAAAGAACCTATCCACGGCTACAGAGGGACAGAAGCAAAACTAGGAGCCAGGCCTAAAGTCTGAGCAGAGGGCTCTGTCCTCGCATCCTTGTAATGTAGACAAGGGGCTGGCTGTACCCAGGAGAAGCTAAGTGCTCCCTGGAGACATCTCTCAAGCCTTCTAGCCAAAGCAGGGCTTACCCTGTGATCATTCCCCTTCTTCTCAGCACTCTTGTTTCTGTGCAGAGCAGGAAACGAAATGGGCAAGGCAGCCTGGAGATCTTTCTGGAATCAGGGGTGGCAGCCAGGAGGTGGCTCTTCCTGCTAAACTTGTCTAGGAACCAGGGTCTGGGACAATGCTGATTAAGGGGAAGGTTTCAACTCCAAGGTTCTGAATGGAAGCTGCGCCCCCCTCAACCCCACCCCCACCCCCGGTTTTCCACAGCTGCTCTATTCTTGACATGGGCAGAGGTATGTGCTTCCGTAATTTTAAATTCCCATCTAATTTTTAAAGTGTATTCCTTTACACAATCCCTAGACTTGGATTAACCTCGAGGTTAAAGGGGAATGAATCTTCTTATAGTGAGGATTTTTGCATAAAGCAAACATGGATACGTTAATATGCCAAGAGACTCTGTTAAAATATCAGTTAACACCTAAAACTGTAAAACCAGGGTAAAGCTGTAGTGGGACGTGTCTGTGGTGTTTCTGGCCCCTCACCTACCATACTACAGCCACGGTGGAATCCCATCCCGAGGGCAGGTATAGCTTGTTCATTGAGCAAAAGGGATGGAAACATTGCAAGCTAAAAACCTACAGAGTTCGCAGTTAGAGATGAAAGGCTGCAGAAATGTTTATTGAATACAGTGCCAGGTTTATAAATAAAACTTATTTACAATTTCCATAGAGTTGGTCCCCCATCAGAGAGGTGGTTAAATCTCCGAACAGTTTATCTTGAGATTTACAGAAACGTTCAAGTACATGTCCTTTTCCGATCGCCACGGTGAAGGGTGACTTCGGGAACAAAGGAACTACCGCCATCTTTGCTACAGACGTGTCTAGTGAACATTATCACAGATCTGGAGAAAGAACGCACACTGCACCCATACCACTACCTTCTTACTTCAAGGGATACAGACAGCAGAGAATTTCTGTCTCCTACAGGACAACTTCAAGGGATCAAAAGAGAAAATAGTAACTGCCAGCTGAAGGGATAGATTAGTAAGACACATTCGTGGAATCTAGTTACTGTCAAAAGGGTAAATGTTTTTGGATATAAAATAATTAATCGAAATGTTTAAAATAATTGAATGGACGAAGAGCAGACTTGACCAAATTTACATTCGTTTAGGAAGAAGTTCCCAGTACGCTGAGGGGCTGCTAATATGCTGCTAATCCGATGGGTCACAGCAGCGCGAGGCCTGGTGGCCGGCCCCGCCTTGCAATATGGGTACAAGTACAGTCAGACATGCATTTATAAAGAGAATATAAAAATATGTACAGTAGCTAATTTTCAATGTGTTTTAAGTTGCCGAAAGACACCAATTAAAGTGTGCAAAAATTCGTTTGTCAAAAAATCAGAAAAAGCCTTCCTTGGCAACAGTGCATCAAAAGCCCATCTGAAATATCAAGATACATTGCCTCGCTCAACACCTACCCCGAACAGACGGAGAACAAAACTATGAAAGTGTGTGCCAAGTACACAGCAGTTTTTTTTATGGCAAGTCTCAGGCTCAAGCGGGATGCCAGTTAAACTAGTCACTTTATATATATAAATATATGTATATATTTATAGAGCAGTTAGAAGTAGGGGCAAGAGTTGACAGAAGGTGCTAACCAGCTTTGAAGAGTACTGCCGTAACAGCCAGCTACTTCCTCGCACTAACTCCTGCAGGCTGCCAGCACCCAACCCCCGGGCTGGCCGTCCCCTCACAGGCCAGAGACGGACTCGGCTTCCGCCAAGCTGGAACTCAGCATTCCCTGGGGGAACGGTTTCTGGTTCCCATACAGGATCCTGGCCATTTAAGAATCCGGTTTCAAAAGTAGTCTTCTAAGACTGTAGGACCATTAAAATTAAGTCCACCCAGCTTCTAGCAAATGACTGGGTGGAAGGGTAAGAAACAAGTCAAACCACCCCAAACCCTTTTTAAAATTACCAAGAGGTCATCAGCCACAGCCCTGAGACTGGGTCAACAGTCAGGCTGCTTGACCTCCCTACAAGAAACATCCAGGTTATTAACTTACTCGAACCAGAAACCCCAGTCCAATCTCAGAACCCCCCCACCGGGGTATTCTGAGATGTTCCTTCCAGATTCAGGGAGTTATGAAAGCGAAGTCTAGCTCATGCTGTCAACATCCCATCTACCAACCATCCGGTCTATGGACAAGCAGCAAAGGCTGGCGGGTTCCTCTCCACTGCTCTGACCCACCCCTCTGGCGGGAAAACGAGCGCGCTGCAAAAATGCCAGAGGGACAAGGAGCAGGAGAGGGAGAAGCCGAGGGTCTCTGTAAGTCAACCCTGAACGCACCCATTTGGCTGCCAAGAGCTTCTCACTGCCTCGCTGGCAGCCTGCCGCTGTTCCCCGGCAAATTAAAACCTCCCACACGAACGTTCAAAACCCAAATCTCCTTGCTAGTAAGATACAACCAGCTAACACCCTCAGAAACGCACATCTAGCCTTCATTTCAGAAGCTCCGCACTAAATGCAAGTGTTCCTTTTGGCGGGGGCTCGTAAGCAAACCAAACCCCCTGCAAAGACCAGCACCAGCATCTCGTCATTTTGGCTCCAGGTTTATAAAGAAACAAAAAATTCCCTCTGGGCTGGAGTTTTCCCTTCAAGCTGGGAGGCCAGTTTAGTTCTACTTGGGGGAAAAAAGCAAAGTCAGGTCAACTTAGAAAAAAAAGTTCAAAAGACTCTCAGGTTAAGTAGTCATAAATTAAAAATCGTGACTCAAAAGGTGACTGACTGATAGTGTCTTTTAGGCATGAAGAGACTGGCTAAGAAGTGACTACTGCTTCTACCACACACAGCGAGGATCAAATTACAGACACACTAAATCATGTCTCTTGCACAGATGGTCTCAAGTAGTTACATAAAACAGGTAATCAGCAGCACAATTGATAAGAACCCCTAAATACATGCTTGAGAGAAAGTGGGTTTTTTCCTTCACTAAGAGCTCTACTTGCCTGAATAATCATTAAGTTACCATGATTCACTCCCCCCCACCCCAGTGAAACTACAAGTAGACCTACACGTCCATAAATAAGATGAAGCAATCAGTATCTGCTTGGTTTTAGGCAAGGTCTCAGGCTCAGAGGCTGGGGCTGGGACGTCAGGAGAGAGGGAGGGAAACCCAATGCTGGGCTGTGGGCATTAAAAGGTACACTGGCCATCCCTTCAACTGCCTTGTCCCCATTTAGATCTCAGCTTTACAAAGCATTTAACACCACTTTAAGTTAATGGTCTTTTTATTGGAAAAAAAAAAAAAAGACTAGCATTTACAACTTGGAATGGACATAAATCGTAATTTCTTGAACAGCAATGTTGATGGTTGTGCTGAAGTCCACAGCCACAGCCTACTCTGCTGGCTCCAAGTCATGGTTCAGAAGGTTTTAAAAACAGAGAGTCCAAAGATGCTCCCTTGATAAAGGTTTCTTTTTAAAAATTTGTGTGAACGGTGATAGCCTGACACCCATTTTGCTCTAGCACAATGCAGACAACGCTAAACCAACACACACTGGCATGCCACCAGGATGTGTCATGGTCATCATGGGTCGGGGCACAGGGAAGTTAAAAGAGGGCCATCCTGCTAGTGGGGCCGCGCCTAGACTGTGTATCCTCCACCCACTCTGCAGCACGGCATCCTGAGGCAAACCAATTTTAAATGGTTGTTTTCAGGAAACCAGCTATGACAATTTATACTAACAAACCGAACTAGAACCCATTTGAGTAGGTTTTGAATCTGTTTTTTCATTTTTCGTTTTTAATACAAACGCCTGACTGTGCTCAATTGTCAAGCGGCATGCATGAAAAACTGGCCAGCCCAAACAGTGTATTAATCATGAGCAAATGGACCTGCAAGGAGTCCACTAAGTGCTTCCTTATCATTAAGGTAGGACAAGTATTTATATCGGAAAACTGATGTGTAGCTTGATCTTTAGGGGACAGGACCACCAACCAATACATGCAGATTTCTTGTGTGTGTGGACAGAAGGTACTTTTGACATTCAATTTTGCTATATAGAAACAGAATGAGTAAATGAACTTTTTTTTTTTTTGCAAGAGGTAAGTAAAAGATTCAATTTGATTCTTCTAGAGGGGGGAAAAAGGAGTTGAAAGTAGCTCTTCACTTTGCAGTCATCATCTGTACGAATTCTGAAAAGACAAATAATCATAACTTTTGGTTATCTTCAAAAGCAGCTTTAATGAACACAGTATCTCTACTCTGCATAAGAAAAAAAACTATCAGTGAAAGTCTAGTGCAGCAATTAACTTGTTTATGGATCCTAAAGGGGAGGCTATTAAAAACTAAGCTAGAGAAACGTAGTCTTTTACCTTCGTAGTTGACTTGTCCATCTCCATCAATATCTGCTTCTCTGATCATTTCATCTACTTCCTCATCTGTTAGTTTTTCTCCTAAGTTTGTCATGACGTGACGTAGCTCTGCAGCACTGATGTAACCATTGCCATCCTGTGAACATTCAGCACTCGTTACTGACAGGACCTCATAGTGGTTCAGTGTGGGCAAGCAGGTCTCTCACTTCATCTCAACTGCCCCTCATGTTGCTGCCAACTCTGTGTTCACTGACAATTCTCCAACCTCCAGTGTATATATACTGCATGTATATATACCTACTATATACATGCAGTTAGCCAATGCAAAAAATGCAGGGGCTTTTCAAAAGCTAACAGAAACTGAAAGTAACCACCAAGAAACTTGGTTCAAAATTTCTCTACTATTTATTATGCTTACTCTCATCTGATAAAGTTACCGCAGTAAGTCAGGATATTTGAAAGTGAGATTACAAGGCTCAGGCAGTTAGGTAAGTGATCTAACTAGAACAGAATGTTAAAGCTTTTAGAAATGACAGCCAAAAAGCCATATTTAAGTACAGTCTGCAATGCAGACGCAGGATTACCTTGTCAAAGACTCGGAATGCCTCACGGATTTCTTCTTCACTGTCTGTATCTTTCATTTTTCTAGCCATCATAGTCAAAAATTCTGGGAAGTCAATGGTGCCATTACCTCAAATTAAAAAACAAAAGCTCATATGAAATAAGCGCTCCAGTAATGCTACTCTGTGGTGGCAATTTTAGAACCACTTTATAGAACAGTAAGCACCTGTTAGGACAAACTGGTAAATTATTTTAGTAGGTTGAACCATCTTAGGTCTGAACTATTCAAATACTTCACAGGGCAACTTCACATGATTCACATAATTCAAAGCAGTAATCAGGATAGCGTTTAATGATGCAAAGGAAAATGCACGTACAGATTCCCGGCCACTGAAGGGTTTGTACAGTTCAAGAGGATAAAGCACACAGCAACACAGGCTGAATCTTTCCACTCCCAAGGGAGGCACTTGAGTTTGCCTTCCCCTAGATTGGGGAGATCACTCAGATCTAACTATGCCTGGGCGAGTGATGCTAGTAATGGTCTATAACTGGACTGCCACGAGTACACAATGTTTTTAGGAAAGAAAAGGATTAGGAGATGGGGAAAGTTGACTTTGTTAGCCAGGGATCATAAAGTGTTAAGAAAGTCTTCTCCAGGAGCCATTTCTCAGCCACTTTATAATAAGTCACCAAATCATTTTCTTCCCAACTCAGTATCTTTATTTCCCATTAAGGGCAAGGCTCAGAAGTGTTTTCTCAGCTCAGACCATTAACATTTAGGAAACTGTCAGAAGAATCTGTTCTATGGCCAGTATTCCAAACAATTCCTCCTTTAAAACCAACAGTTAGATAAATACCCCAAAGACAAGCCACTGGAGCAACAGTGTAACCTGAATTACACATAAATAAAAATTAAATTAGAAGAAAAAAGTCTTAAGTCACTCATTTTCACTAGTACCTTTAAATTAAAATAGTAACTCAGAGATCCCTTCAAATCTATTTGGCCTCTAAAATTTTAAAGCATCATTGATATTCATGAATGACAAAATCAATTACTTGAAAAGCTCTCTCTTACAGCTAGGTAGCAATGCCCCAGGCATCAATGTTTATTCACTGCAAATACTAGACTCTATAACTTGAGACAACTCTCCCCACCTTGTTCCATACAATCTGAGGGCCTAACAGACTTTGCCAGTCCCCAAGCAGTTTCCCAGGGCTTACACAAAACAGGAGAGCCAGCCCATATTCTCAAATGGCTGATCACCTTAGCAGTCAATCTAGACAGAACAATGAACAACCTCTTTTTTGAAAAGATTAAGGATGAAAACAGTCTATAGAAGTAGCTCAAATGGGCTAAAACTGTTGTTAAGGAGATGACTCCAAACCCCTGCTTCTAAGGTGTGTGACACAGACAAGTGTGATTCTACTTCATCACCTCATGGTACCAGTTTTTTAAATGGCTACCATTAAGCCAACCATCTAGAAAGTAGTCTAGATCCAAATTGTTTATTCCTACCTCATCTTTTAAAAACTTAGTAATGTTCTACAATGTTACATCTGTAGATTTGATTAATTTACTTATTAAATAAGTTAATTTATTAATTTAATTAATATGATATGCAAAAACTATAATTTTCTTTTTTGAGGGGTGGAGGGGATGGTCAAAATTATTTACTGATGGAAGTGAGCAATAAGAAGTCTACTGCCCACTGTTCTGGAGTCCAGAGGAATGAAAAACCAAAAGGTGACCAACTGCTACAGGGGTTACGGCCTGATTCTCTTGGCTCCGCATCTTACACATCTTCCCCTTCTATTAGGTTCTGTGAACCTACTTACTCCCTGCAGTCATCATGCACCCCCACCTCCAAGCATCACGTGATCCTCGAAATTCTCAATAAACATATCGACCGACAGCTTGCGCTGTGTTCACTTCTACATTAACATCTAAGAGTGCTCTTCCCCCACTTAATGTAGGGTTTTTCTCCTTAAGAGACAATTAGCTTTTTAAAAAGCTATGGCTATTTATTTTTCCTTCCCCCAAAAGGACTCAGCACAGACTCATGGGCCAGTTGATAAAATACTGAGCTGTAGGTCATGGCAAATAAAAAAGAACAATACAGTGATCCGATCCAGGAAACGTTCTAGACAATGAGCAGGGCGAAAGGCAGGCCTGTAATCTTCTATTTTAATTGTCAGTGGCTGTAAGGCAACCACAGAAAGGATCTTTGCACATTTAGTTTGCTCTGGGGACCTGAAAGACAATCTCGTAACATGCCTGAACTTGAATTACACAACACTGGCACTCATTCATAGTTTTAAAGCCCTTACCGTCAGCATCCACTTCATTGATCATATCCTGCAATTCGGCTTCTGTTGGGTTCTGACCCAGTGACCTCATGACAGTTCCAAGTTCCTTTGTTGTGATGGTGCCATCACCATCTTTGTCAAATAGGGAGAAAGCTTCCTTGAATTCTGAAAACAAAAGTTTACTTTTTAGAAATGCCTTCACCCAACCCAGCCACAGCACACCCTTCCCCTGAACTTGCCAAAGCAAGCCGTCCAAGTTGTGCAAGTAACAGAAACTGCCTCGTCTTTATCAACTGAAACAAAGACCACAGCAGTTCTATTGGACTGGCCCTCATGTAGCAGTCCATCAAGCAAAACGTTGCTCCTGGCAACCAGTTCCATAAAACCACAGTACACTCAAATTCTTAAAGAAGCCTAAACTTGAACATGCTGAAATTAGTCCTAAATCCAATCTGACAAGTGAAGATTGGTCCACGTGTTCCCCCTTAAGGTCCTTTCCTGTTAAATTTTTACAGTCATTAGAACTCCCTGTTTCATAGCAACGTGAAGAGGTGGTTACCAGAAATGTACATTCCCACATAATCACTGTGTTCTCTCTACGTGGCATTCAGGGTATTTCAAGGGCATTCCTGGTTTCCTAAAGAGAAACCATCTCAAAAAAGTCCTCCAGGAAATAGTAAAAGCTAAAATTCTAAACTAACATTAACTCCCTTGCTAATTATCATAGTGGTTCTAACATTCATTTTCACCCATTCCCATTTAGAATAGCAAGTACAAGCTTTCATGGTGAATTACTGACAGACCTGTGGCATAAGAATTCTAAACTACATTTGTGGGTAGCAGGCTCAATGAGATCTCATTACACGCAAAGCCTGGCATATCGTGAAGCACAGTCAAGTACTCCAGAGTGTCACAAGTGGGTATTCTTAGTTCCACTTCCTTTCACATTATCTCCAAAATACTGACAGGGAGTTAAGACTTGACCTAAATATCTCTGCTTATTGTTTTCATTTAAATAAATTCTTAGAAAACTGCTCAGACCATAGGGAGCACCCAAACTTAGTTTGCCTAGTTCTGGCCTACTGAAACTCCCTGAAGTCATTAACTTACCAGCAATCTGCTCTTCGGTCAGTTGATCAGCCTACACAGAAAAAGAAAGGTTATAATTCAGTCCACTAGAGTTTGATTGAGAACAACATAGTTTTTCCAATTATGCTTTTAATAGAGATCCTTCAGTATCAAAAAATTGTTTGAAAACTTTAGCACTGTTATTTAATAAAAACAGTTAGAATAAAGGGAACCTTTATGCTATTTTAAAAACTAAGGATGATAAGGAAATGACAACATCTCATTTCAGGTCTTCTCTGGGCCTACGGCTGGGTGCTCTGAGATCTAGCTAGGAAGGGTCAGTTCATAATTTGAAAAATGGCACCTCTAGTGGCAAAAGACCCACTGCATGGGCTGCAGGGGCAGGCTCTGAGAAAGAAGAGCGCCACCTACTGCGCCAGAGACGCCGCAGTCCCTACTTCAATCCAAGAAGGGACCCAGCCTGATAACTGCTGTCACCCCCGCCAGGATCGGGTCCAGGGGCAGGCTTTTAGTGCACCTTGCGCATTGCTGCGGGAGCTCCAAACCTCCAAACTGGCATTACATAAGGGCATTGGGTTGGATTAACAGGCTTTTATGTCTATTTTATGAGATACAATTAAGCAGAAAAAATAAATATACAGCAGTGGGTTACCTCACCAACTTCATCTCCATGTAATAAATACTTTCCAATCATTTAAGTTAGGCAGTTATTTGTTAAAAGCCTACCATTTAGAATAGCTAATGCCCTTGGTCAAATTATCCTAAGATTCAGAAGCCAGGAAAAAAATGGAACCATTCTACAACCGAGCTGTTACAAAACTGCAAAAATTAAGTACAGTGAAAACTACATAATAATTATGAGATTATATCCTCTTTTTTCTAGAGAGGAACATTAACTTTGCTAGAGGATATTTACCCCATCCACTTTAAGGATGACATAACAGCCGCTCATAATAAACACACTTTACTAGAGGTGGTAATGGCCATGAAGGTAATTCTCACTTGCATTATTTATTCTCTGCAACACAGAACCCGTGCCTCCAGCCAGGGGAATTCGAGATCTCAAGGAGAGCTAATATGTATTTTTATTTTAATGAAGGAGGCCTAATGAAGCCAGTTCCAAAATAAGTCCTAATAGAAGGCTGACAACATTAAGTTTATTCTCTTACATGAAAACTTGCACAACAGGAATGGGGCTCCGATATATTGATTCGGGGAAAAACTTATTTTTTCAAATTAGAAGGAGGTCTTCCTTTCTACCCTCGTCACAGCCAAGTTGGTTTTCTTTATACCGAATGAAGGAGACGATGATTTATGTAACGCCAGGGCAACGTCTGTCTTGTACAACAGGAAGAGCTGCCACACCTCGTACAAAGAAGCTGTCACCTCACCGGGGAAACAGTCTCACCTCGCCGCAAAACTCTATTAGAGTGGTTATGGAGAGCATCAGCCTTCCTCGACAAAGAAGCACACCCCACCACGAAATCCGCGTTGGCCTCGGGGGCAAAGGTGCGCTGACCCTGCTGGGAGTCATCTCTCCTCCACCCTCCCCTCACCCCCGGCTAAGCCAGAAAAATGCTGCGGGTGATGTCAGCTCTGCCCGCCAAGGGAGGAAGGGGGCTGTGGAAAACACGCCCAGCGAGGCGCACAGGCGTATCTGGCAATCTAGAGGCTGCAGAGAAAGCAGAAACGTGGAGGGCATCTCCTTTCGGACTGGGAAGTGGCGCGAAGCAGGGGAAAAGCCGGCTGAGGGGAGGCCCCGAGTGCAGGCGAGTGCAGGGGGAGAGGCGGCCCCTGGGCAAGGTAGAGGCATCGCCCCTCCCAGGTTAGGGAGACAACCCTCCCCACTCCCACTCCCGGGCCGCCCGGCAGGCGGAGGCCAAGTCCGCCCCGAGCCTCCCACCCGCTTCTGCTCTCCCAGGCGGCGAGCCCGCCGCGCCGCCGCCTCCTCCCGGTGCAGAAACTTTGCGTCTCTAATGGAAACCGAGCCGCGCGCCAGCTCCCTCCTCCCCCGCCCCCCCACCGCCCCAATTAGCGCAAGCCGAGCGCCTCCCGCGGGAAGGGACCTCCTGGTGTACAGAGGCTCACGCACGCCTTTACTGCTGCACTAGGTGGGGGGCTGCAGGAGTGCGGAACGGAGAGACACCGGCCCCGGCCACACCGCAGGGCCCCGCCCGGTCGCAGGGCGGCCGGCCTGCCG